CCGATTCATCCGAGAGCGTAAACACTGCAGAATAATGCCCTTCGCCATCCCCAGGAATTGAGGAGATTGTTACAGTTGACAAAATGATAAAAGATTGAATTTAAAAAAAACAAAAACAGGTGTGATGATTAGAGTTTTTTTTTTAAGGAAGGTTATAGAGAGTTCCAGAGTGTGATAAAGACTGAAAACGTTGTTTTGATTATATTGTGAGAAATTTTCTTCATTAATTTTGGTTTATGTTGTTCCTATTATAAATAAATTAGCTGATTATGGATATGTTACAAATTATTATAAAATAATACCTACAAAGAAGAAATAGTCAGTAAGGAAGAACTCACTCCCCCTCCACTGGGTAAGCCCTTCTTAATTAACATTAAGTTGACGTATAAAGAAACGTTACAACATATAAATGGATTAATACCAAAGGACATCTGTCATTTTTAAAAAGTTGGGAAACAAATTTTTCTGTAAAATTGGTTTAATTTATACTAATCCTAATGAATTTTTTTCATGATTCAACTTGAACATTGGTAATCATCTGAGTGAATATGCCGTCATTCTTAATCTTCAGAAATAGTCTGAGTTGAACTTAAAAAATTAAAATTGACTATATCTCCGCTTTCTGAAAATGACAGAGATCCGTCCTTTGATATCAAGCCACTCATATATTTTCATATTTAATTTTATTATTTTTGCATCCTATGGTAAACTGCACAACCTTATTCCAACGTAATGTTAAATAAAAGAATTTACTGAAAAAAACAACAACACTGAAATCAATAAAAAACTGATTTCTAAAAGGAACATAAACGGTTATAAGTATTACTCAAGAATTAAATAATAATAAATAATAGCAAATCAAATGTTTGAAATGTATCTTACTAATTCAACCTCCTCCCAGATCAACTTCCTTCAAAGACACTTCCCCTCTCCTGTGATGTTCCTCAGGGTTCCTCCTTGTCTCCTACTCTCTTTGCTATTTACATTAATGACCCTCCCCTCCTGATCCATCACTCCCAATACCACATCTATGCTGACGATTTCCAAATATACCTGTCCTTCCCCCCTTCTGACCTATTGGCAGCTACAAAGACCGACCGTGGAAAAGACCAAGGCAATCCTAATAGGCTTCAATCACCTCCTTAAAACTTTTCTCAACTTTCCAACCCTGTTCCTACATGATAATCTCATCAAACTTTATCCCACTATTAAAAACCTTGGAATAATCTTTGATCAAACCATTTCCTGGAAAAACCATGTGTCCAATATCTCCCGACATACCTTTTCCACCCTTAAACACTTAAATAGCCTGTGACACCTTTTTCCTTTTGAAATCCATAGACTCCTGGTCATCTCCTTAATATTTCCCTACTTCGACTATTGCTGCACGGTATATGGAGGCGTCTCTGGGGATCTCGAGGCAAAACTAAAACGTTTGATAAATTGCTTTGTACAATTCATCTTCAGGATCCCAAGAGACACCCCTTCCTACCACCGTAAGTATTTCCTGGTATCCTTCCTCTTCCAAGTAATTCACTCCCGCCGTCCTTCATACATCGCCGAGCTCCTTAAATTTAAATCCTCTGTCCACTCCTTGTCTGTTAGTTGTCCACTCCCGCAATACCCGTTCCCAGGGTTCAGATTTATATATAATGGCCCACCGAACAGCTGCTTTCGATAAATCTTTTATTATTCGATCCTCTTCCCTATAGAACTTCATCCCTTCCCACATCCATCAATCCAAAACCCTTCCTACCTTTAAATCCCAACTGTTTAATCATTTCTTATCCATCCAGTCATCATAAAATTGTAAATAGTTACTACTGTAAATATGTATATAAATTATTAGATCGTTCTTTATTATATTTACTTCATGTTTATTTTCAATTTTTTATTTTTTATTATTAACTGATGTAAATCAGACAGTAACTTATAATTTCTCTTATTATTTTTTTTCATTTATCTATTCTTCTTTATGTATCTCTGAGGCTCCTTAGCCCACATTTTTGTCTCTCTGTATCATTCTAAAGGGACTCGTCCCAGAATAAATAAAGCATTATTATTATTATTATTATTAATCCCTGAATAGTCTCTTCAATAAAAGCCATTCCTTTTTTTTTTTTTTTTTTTTGTTATTGATTAATCGAAAATTTTATAAATACTAAAGTAATTTAAATTATCATTTGAAGAAGTGATGTGATTCTCCTTATGTAGATCAATACTATTGTACGCTCTCTAGATTCATTTTTTATTTTCACCTCAATGTATTCAGGAATTAGTACAATACATTTCAAGCATTTGATTTGCTATTATTTAAAATTATTTAATTCTTACAATACATTTCAAGCATTTGATTTGCTATTATTTAAAATTATTTAATTCTTAAGTAATACTTATCATCATTCATGTTTTGGTAGTTATCCAGTAGCGGGTAGCGTCAAAACCTCCCTTCTTATCTAATCTCATTTCAGATAACATCCCTTATCTCATCTAACCCAAGTTATTCTTTTTAGGTTTTGTTTCTTGTGCCAGGTGTGAGTTTATTTAATTACGGATCTTGTCACATTGTGGGAATTGCCGTCTTCAGAAGAAGAGGCTATGAAATATTTTCAAGACGCCGGTATATTTGATAAGGTGAAATATTGTGATGAGGGTCATAAAATGAAGTTCGACAGGAAGATTAAATGGAGATGCTTTCTTAGGTGTAACAAAACCGTTTCTATAAGGAAAGAAACATGGTTAGAGGGGTCGAGGATTTCTTTTTTAACGGCTTTAAAATTCATTTATGGGCGGTCCCATAATTTAACAACAATACAGTGGGGGAAAGAGCAGCTCAAACTATCCATCGGAACTGTCGTAGCATGGAACATATTTTTAAGAGAAGTTTGTGCCCATGACATGTTATACAGGTCGAATAAAAAAATTGGAGGGCCTGGCAAAGTCGTCGAAGTAGACGAGTCTTTTTATGTTTTGGTCTATTTTAATATATATACGTTGTAAAATAAAAGCATTTTGTTATTATTACATTTGTTTCCGTTTTGTTTCACAATTTCAATAATATAAATACAATACAATACAATAAATATGAACATGAACATATAATAATATGAATATAATACAATAAATATGAATACGAAGAGCTTATCAGTGTTAAGAAGGTTATAAACATTGGCAGATAGCAGTTGGACGCTACCCGCTATTAGATAACTACCATTCTTTTATTTAACATTACGTTGGAACAAGGTGGTGCAGTTTACCTTAGGATTTCTTTCATGAGTATGGTTTATTTTCCACTACAATTTTGACAACTCTTTTTAATGAAGTTTTTATTAGGAAGAAGCAAGCAATCAACTATCTTAGGAGGGGTATGCGAAATCTTTTGAGGAAGGTGGAAGGCAGCTCTAATGCACACGAAACGAACGCTATGACAAATGGAGTAGTGCAATTTCAATACATTGCCACGATTGATATTTGAAAATCTTTAACTTTGAAACAGTATCTTAAAATGTTTTAAACCACATGTGTTTCTTTTACATCCAACTGATACTAAGTTTTTGATAAATATTTATAGTTTCACTTTATATTTTATAATAGTAGATATATTAAACCACGCGCATATTTTAAATGCAACGTTAGCCAAAATTTCAAGGCAATGGGTGAAGAACTTTGCGAGATTTAAGAGTTTGAACAACTAAACATTTACATTTTTTTTGCCATAAAATGATCAACACAAAGTTTAACATTAAACAATACATAATCAAAAAAAATGTGAAAATTAAATATGAAAATATATGAGTGGCTTGATATCAAAAACAGATTTCTGTCATTTTCAGAAAGCGGAAATAAAGTCAATTTTAGTTTTTTAAGTTTAACTCAGACTGTTTCTGATGATTAAGAATGGTGGTGTATTCACTCAGATGATTACAAATGTTCAAGTTGAATCATGAAAAAAAAAATCATTAGAATTTGTTAAACTGAAGCCATTTTACAGACAAATTTTTTTCCAACTTTTTAAAAATGCCAGATGTCCTTTGGTATTAATCCATTCATATGTGCTTTCTATTTTCTTTCTTATCCACTTTGCCAGACTAAGCCACAGCAGGGCGTGGCCAGGCCAGGTAAAGCTAGTATTCTATAAATCGGCCGCCATTTTTGAAAGCAGCGGCTCTGGAATGGCATACAAGGTTCATTATACTTAGAATAACATACACTTCTTAATTTATCTTTAAACCATCGCCTGCCATCAGGTCGATCTTCGGGCCCTGGCTCCAGGGCTATTAAAGATATTAGCACTTAGTTTAGGGAATTTTTGAAAAGTTTACCTTTTCAATCATTTGCAAAAACATTAAGTATTGAAATATTAACACTTCATAATGCACTTTTAGATATACATCAAATAAAATTTAAAAAAACTTTTTTTAAGTGATGAATTTTAGCTTATGGATCACATTTTTCAAGAATCTAGTAAAAGTGATTTCAAATATTTCATTTGAGTATGTGCTTCCACTTATCAATAAAACTTCTTAAAATAACAAAATTATCTATATTATCTATTATTCTTGATTTAGAACAAATATTTATAAAATTTTATGACTACTTATGACCAAATTTTTCAGCAAGTTTTTTTAATTAACAGTTTAATGGATCTAAAGTTTATTTGAGGCTATAATACAGGGAGGATACTAGAGTTAGGTGAATGGGCACGTCTGCAAAATGAAGCTGGACATAAAGATGAATAACAATTTGTATTGTTTTCATACAAGTCTTAAAACTGAACAAAGGAAATACCATCATGACATAAGTAATACGATTATATTACAGAATGAATAATGTCGTCGAGATGATGAAATTTTAACTATAAATAGTTATAACTAAAATACATAACAATATATAACTAAAAACTTCATCATCAACCAATATATTGTTTTCACTAACTAATAATAACAGCATTAGAATAAACAAATTCAGGTAATTGTGAAAAATGAAACGTAATTGAATACCTGTAATACAGCTACATCTTCAACAAGTCTGAGTAATACCAATAAAACCATTTCGGTTTGTATATTCCCTTGAGAAGCACATTGATTCAATTCAGCCAACAATGTATTCCATTGTTGTGGCCATTCTCTCTTAATCATTTCAACAACAACACGAGACAATGCATCTCTCATGTGGGCCTTATCTTCTAATGTTGTATCCATACCTCGCTCAACTAATTTCATGGCATTCTCCTAAACATTAAACAGAACAATTAAACAATTTGTACAAATGTATACATAATCACTACTACAAATATAATTGCCTTTATGAATAGTTTTTCAGCCTGACTCATATTATACCAACGGTACTTGATACAGTGTTCCATCAGTTGTAATCCAAAATGTCGAACAAAATGGGAATAATCAGCTCTTTGTGCTAAATACAAACCACACTGAACACACAAAGGACTCTTCTCTTTGAACACTTCACAGGCATTGTAGGCTTCTAATCTTTCAACCTGTGATGCCTGAGGATTCATTGTTAATTCTACGGCAGCTGCCAACTGGGTAGCGACAGAACTGATTTCATTATCCATTTCTAATATTGTGTGTAAACTGCAAAAACAAATTTTAATCAATTATGGAAACAATAAAATGCACATGATTATTAACATATATAACATAGGAATTTACCTTCAAAATTAAATAAATTGACTAGTACAGAAGATGAAACAACAGATGTCTTCGTTCTTTCATTGATTACAGTTCTTGACAGTAGTCTCAAAAGCATGTGAGAGCCATGCCTTCACATCACGTTTTATTCATAACAAAAACAATAATTAGGAACTTCTTTTTCCATGTAGTGATTGAAAACGAAGTTTAACAATTATAAGTACGGCATGAATTCAAAAAGATGTTTGAAATAATGGTTTCTAATTAAAAACAATGAAGCTGTAGGCGCATTGGAACTGGTTGATGCAATTGTTTTTTTTATATTGGGTGAGGGATGAGACAACCAAATAAACTTAAAGAATGTCAAAGCCAGTGTCCGTGGATCCTATGGACCGACGCTTACGAGATAAAAAATGAAACAAACTTAAGTCATCCTGAATGTGTGTGCAACCTAACCTTTCTAATTCGACTGGACCAATCTCAACGAACTCTCGATTTGTTTTGTTGGTATTAATGAAATTTGTACAACCGCGAAAAACATTTTTTTAAACATGCTTTATTTACCTTTTTACGAAAATTTGAATTCATGAGTAAAGAAATATTATAAAAAAAAACTTTATTTGCATATGTTGTCTATGAAAGGTAACTTATATCACTAACAACTCAAAAGAAGAATTTCCAATAATATTATTAATTTCTATTCACACTTAATTGAAAAATTGAATATTAATAACTTTAACAGTAATTTAAAAAAAATCAAGAAGAAATATGTCTTGTATTTGAAATTGATGTGAAATAAAGGGGAGGAGGAAGCTTATCAGCATGCTTGTAAGAAAAAAAATCTCTCTCCCCCCTCAAAAAAAAAAAACAGGATATGTTTTCATATGCTGGATGTTTTGGTCAATAATGGATCGTTGTGGGATTATACAATTAACTATTAACGCTTAACGTAGTTCAGGAGTCTATAAACTATACAAAATCATGGTAAAGGATAATTGTTGACTGTAGATGATATATTGAATATAAGTTGGATATAGTTTTTAGTTAATACCGTACTTTCATTGACTGAAAATCTCAAGCAAATTCTCTTCAGTAAATTTAAAGTCAGTAAAAATCTGGTGCGCGCAACACACAACTTTCACTTACTCTATGAACTTTGCTTAACTTTAAATAGACATTATTTTCTGGTCATGTTAGGCTATTACAAACGTTTTTTAATTGCACTTCTAACTGAACTAAAGCTAAAAGATTGCAGCTAACAAGTCATAAATACTATTAAAATAACAAAAGTCCTATTTATTATATCACCGGTTGATTATGAATTGTACGATTCGTTAATTATGGATTGTTCGATCCGTTGATTATGGTTTGTACGACTATTAGTTATTAAACTGTTGTTTTCCATTGCAAAGTTTATTAAAACGGAATTAAGATATTTGCATTGCCTGTCACAGACAGGTCAAAAATAGTCACACTAATTGTAAGAGGATTCTGTTGGAATATCGCAAAGGAAAAATTTATCAAATTATTCACTAATTTAATTTTTTAAAAGGTTACATGATGAGTTTTCGGAATAAACAGGCGATAGATACCTAAATATTGAAATATAATACCAGATCTAGAGTTATTAAACTACAGTAAATATATTTAAGGTTATAAACGTATCTATGAAATATTTTTATATTTCACTTCTTCTTTCACACAAGTACCATAAAATAGTGGTGGATACTGTTGGAATATAACAAAGGGAAGATTCACCAAATTATTCACTAATTTAATTTTCTAAAAAGTTACTTGATAATTTTTCGGAATAAACGCTGATAAATAATTATTTATGTTTTTTATATTCGTTTATTTAGAAATATTACATTCTGTCACATTCAAGGACATTTATAATAGTGTTCAGAGAACACACTCACACTCTATTTACAATAAGTAAAAATAAATAATACAGAAACTAATAATAATAAAAATAATATAAACAAAAGAACTAACCTAATCACACATACTTGGCTTGAGTGGAGGATCTGGCCATCGCCAAAACTCCAATATATGCTTATTCACAGAAGGTCTCTGGGCCATTGCCGCTTCAACCTTCGAGAAGGATTGTAAGGATGGGTGGTACTGGATAGAGATTGTGCAAGGGGATTTGGATGATAGGTAAGGTTCTGGTGAAATTTTGAGAATTTTTCTGGGATAAGGTCTAGGACAAATGGGATATTAAAGTCATGGTGTAGGGATTTGTTAGTTATGTCGAGTTATGTGTGTGCAGAGAGTATGTAGTTATCAGAAGGCCTCGACAGAGCGTTGCTCAATTTAGGGGTAAGATGACTGAGTGGATGTAGGAAGATGAACACAAGGATGATCATAAGTGACAGGCGGATCAGTAAACAATCACTCTCGATCTGCGGTGTAAGGGATCAGCATTAACACTCCGCAAGGATGGTAATCACAACCGGAGGGATCAAACTCCGGACTTGAGGGAGGATGTGATACTAACGGAGGGATCAATCTCCAGACTAAGTATATAGGAATACAAGCGGACGGATCAGCATCCAACTTCCATGGAGAGAGAATAGGAAATAGGTAGGGATGGGTCGGATTTAGGGATGGGTCAGATTGTATGTATCAGATACTTTTATCTGATACTAAAAAAGTATCTGATACAACCAGTAGATACAACCAAAAAGTATCTGATACAAAAGTATCTGATGCTCACATGGATACAAAATGGTTGTCCAGACATGCCACATTGATATAAGAGAAATGTTTAGTTATAATTTTAGTTGTGCACAATTTTTTTAAAACTATCTATTCATTTAGTTTAATTTAATTAAATATTTATTTGTAGATAAATATATTTACGCTTGTTTTTTGTTTTTTTATGTAATGTTAATTTCAGATATTTTTATCTGATACTGCTATCGGATATTTTTATCTGATACTAGTATCAGATACTTTTATCTGATATTTGTATCAGATATTTTTATCTGATATTTGTATCGGATATTTTTATCTGATATTTGTATCGGATATTTTTATCTGATATTTGTATCAGATATTTTTATCTGATACCCGCATCGGATATTTTTATCTGATATCTGGACTAGATACCCAGCAGTATGCATACTGGCGCTTGGGCTTTTTAGTTAATATATAATAGTTCTAATGACTGTATAGTTATGTCAAGTACTAAGAAAATATTTACACAATTTTTTAAACAAAATATGCTTCATATTTGACAAAAGAATGGAATATATTAAATAAAAATATAACAAATTCATGCAGAGGAAATATTTTCCTAATACAACCGTTCTTAAGAATTTTGTAACAATTAAAAAAATTCTTTATAGTTAAGTTTAACATACACACACACATATATATATATATATATATATATATTTTTTTTTTTTCTGTTTGTATTACAGACCATGTAGATCTTTTGCCACCTTAACAAGTATGCTCAATCTCTACCTCTCTTGGGCTATTTCTTTCCATTATCTAATATTTGTATCGGATATTTTTATCTGATACTCGCATTGGATACTTTTATCTGATATTTTTATCTGATACCTGGACTAGATACCCAGCGGTATGCATACTGGCACTTGGGCTTGATATCTCAATAATTGTATCAGATATTTTAATCCAACTGTAATTGATTATTGATCGGGTTTGATATTTTAATACCTATTTGATACCTAATAAAACATACATTAAATATGTACCTATATATATTTTATTCCTTTATTATTAAATTTGTCCCTGTAATAAATATTTTACACCATTTTTAAATATAACAGTTCTAATGACTTTATAGTTATGTCAGGTACTATGAAGATATTCACTATAGGATAGCTAAGTTTAACATCCTCACACACACATATATTTCTTTTATTTTCACCGATCAATCTACATCTTGGGATTTAGATTATATAGGACTTGTATAATGTTTACAATACTATTATTGTATTCTTTGAACATATTAAATTACATATGTAAATCATTTAATATGTAATATGTATATATTTATCCACTCTTTTATTATTATTTTTTTCATTAATACAATATTATGACAACAAAAGTAATTAGTCGTTCATTTCAAATTTCAGTTAAAATTCCATAGTTCATTGTTGTTTAGTAACTATTTTACTGTATTGGGACCTCATTGCTCATATTATGTCTTTAATATATCAGTATAGTTATGTAAATCCTTCTGTTATTACTTATTTTTTAGTTTTTTTTTATTGTAATATGCATTTTGGCCAGATGTTATGTTAATTTTTATGTACAATATTGTTATTCTCAAGGGACTTTGTCCCAGAATAAAGGTGATTCTTCTATTCTATTCTATTCTATATATATATTTATTTTTTCTGTTTGCATTACAGACGATGTAGATCTTTTGCCATCTTAACAAGTATGCTCAATCTCTACCTGTCTTGGGCTATTTTTATTATAGTAGGCAAAAGACCACGTCGAAGGCCAAAAAGCAGATGGATAGATAGAATCAACAAAGATAGAATAGAGCTGCGTGCAGATAAATGGCAAAAAATAGCCCAAGACAGGCAGAGATTGAGCATACTTGTTAAGGTGGCAAAAGATCTACATCGTCTGTAATACAAACAGAAACAATAAATATATATATAGAATAGAATAGAATAGAATAATCACCTTTATTCTGGGACAAAGTCCCTTGAGAATAACAATATTGTACATAAAAATTAACATAACATCTGGCCAAAATGCATATTACAATAAAAAAAACTAAAAAATAAGTAATAACAGAAGGATTTACATAACTATACTGATATATTAAAGACATAATATGAGCAATAAGGTCCCAATACAGCAAGATAGTTACTAAAAACAATAAACTATGGAATTTTAACTGAAATTTGAAATGAACGACAAATTACTTTTGTTGTCATACCATTGTATTAATGAAAAAAATAATAATAAAAGAGTGGATAAATATTTACTTTAAATGATTTACCTATGTACCTCAATATGTTCAAAGAATACAATAATAGTATTGTAAACATTATACAAGTCCTATATAATCTAAATCCCAAGATGTAGATTGATCAGTGAAAATAAAAAATATATATGTGTGTGTGAGTATGTTAAACGTAGCTATTAAGAATTTTTTCAATTGTTACAAAATTCTTAAGAACGTTGTATTAGGAAAATTTTTTCTCTGCATGAATTTGTTATATTTTATTTAATATATTCCATTCTTTTGTCTAATATGAATCACATTTTGTTTTAAAAACTGTGTGAATATCTTCATAGTACCTGACATAACTATAAAGTCATTAGAACTACTATATATTAACTAATAAGTCCAAGACTAGACTAGATACCAAGCGCCAGCATGCATACCGCTGGGTATCTAGTCCAGGTATCTGATAAAAATATCAGATAAAAGTATCCGATGCGGGTATCAGATAAAAATATCTG